CGGGCGGCGCCAGCGGTCGCGGGCCTGCCCGGGGGTCGCTCCCTCTGCCCCGCTGCAGCCGCGCTGCCACCTCGTCAGTTTCTTTGGGATTTGAGACTTAATAACAAGGAAAGCTAGAAAGTTTTCAGTCTTGATGTCCCAGGAGACTTTCTAATGGGACTTATGTGTTCAGATGGGAAATAGATTTTAAAATGGGGCAAAAAAAGGATGATTGAATGGACTTAATCTCTCATATGATAAACATATTCTGGGCATAAAAAGTCTAAACTAAATAATGTAGATTGTGTTTTCTGTAGGTCTGCATTAAAAATCTTGGTTAATTATTAGAGCTACTTTATTTCACTCTGGTATTGTGACGTTCTCCTGTGCGTGACCGTCTCTGCTGGCCAGCTTTACAGAATGCCTGATTCCACACTGCGCGCTTAGGGTAACAAAGTGATTAAAAGCTCAAATTAAATCTTGATTTTTTTTTTTTTTAATTTCTAATTAAAATGCAATCTGGAAAGTATAGCGTTTAAGAAAAGTTTTAAATTAAGATTACTGCTACAAATTCCATTTCTGTTCAAGACTACCAAATGAATCCTGGCTGGAAAACTTGTGAGAAGTGGATAGCAGTGGGTAGTTTTTTATATAATGTTAAATTATGTCCTGTGACTGCTGCATAAATATTAGATGAATGATTATGACACGCTGCAGGAGCAACAGCTGGTCTCACTGGCTTGGAATTGCATGCTCAGTTTCAGCATGTAGCTGTTTGTGATTTTCATACGATCAGTGACATCAGTGGTATCATTTAATGTGACAAAAATGTTAAGCTCTACTGTTACAGTTTCTGCAATGAAATTAAATAGAATCTTTTATAAGCGGCTTTGGAGTACAAGATAATCAAGTATGTATGGAATCAGTTTTCCTTCGGTATCTAACAAATGAGGGTAAACCAGAAGAAAATCTAATTTTTTTTTATTATTGCATTAAAATAGCAGTGTAAGCCCAAGAGACATTCTAGCAAAACTTTCCAAAATTAGCAGAACAGCATTTCCCCCAAAGGACATATCTTTAATGTGAGGTTTTAACACTTGGAATAGGTGTATATCTGGGGCCAGGTTATCTAGTAAACCTTAATGTTTCCTACATTCTATTTAATTTTCTACCTTTTATTGTGGGGTTTTTAAAGGAGGGGGAGAGAACGTGTGTACAGGGCACGTGGGCTATGTTTTTAAAGAGGACACTGTAAGTTTAATCACATCTTGAAGGATTCCAAGGCAGGCTTTTCTTTTCTGACCTAGGCTAATATTTTCAGAAGCACTTAATTAATGTAGATGCTAAAGTCCCAGGCTCCTAAGTGTGAACTGCTTGTGAAAATGAGTTGGATGCCTTTATAACGGTGGTAAGCAGCCTTTTCAGGTTGTGGGTCTGAATGACTCCACTTGGGCCAGAGGCAAGCTGCAATTAGGACCTGGCTGCTATTGCTGGGGTTTTTTCCCCACTTTCACAGCTACTGCCACCGCTTTTTCCAGTTAAAGCCTCATGTCCATGGGCCAGATTAGATAGGTCCTTGCGGCATAGGTTGCTGCCCCCTATATAAAATACATCCATTGTTTCATTTCTGTGTGTACCTTGAGCTAAATTCTTATTAGACATTTAATCCATTTCCGAATTAATATACAATGCAATTTGGATTTAGTTAGTGTTTGTGCAGGGCATTGAAAATGTAATAATAATTTTAAAAGTAAGTGCTAATTATTGTTAGTTTATAGTATTACAAAACTTTTGTCTCCCAATCTGTCGGATTAACTTTCCAATTGTTGTTAAACACCTTCAGTAGGTTATTTTATGTTTATTATTTTAATTGTGTTCTCCATAGTTTTCTGTCTGTAACTGTCCTGACATAGCTTATGTCTCTTTAAGTTGTTTTCTTGTTCCACATACAAGTTCAAGGATAAGATCTAACCAGTTTGAAGTAGTCAAAATAAAAAAAGTAGATTTCAAAGGCATTAAAATATCTTTTTAAATACAATGTTTATTTCAGAAAAGCCAAAGAGGGCTTAATGGGCATAAACCAGGAAGAAACCATACCCATCTCAGTCAGACAGCTGTCCTATGGTAAATTGAAATTTAATCCAACCCATTTAATATGTACCGTAGATGTCAAGCTGAACAAAACAGTCTCTAAATTGTTATAACTAGAAAGACTAATTTTGGGGGGCTAACTATTTTTGTGCTGCTCATTTTTGTTTTGTATAGTCTTAACATCAATAGACACCTAAGTTTATTTTATACGTTTTCAGTTTATGAAAAACTAAAGGTGCCCAGTGGGTTTGGGCCCTGTGCACCTTGATCCAGTCTCATAGCGGTTGGATCCTGCAGGCAGACACGACACAAGCAGGATGTGGAGCCCGGGGCAGATCAGCCTATGTGGGGCCCCATGGCCCCAGATGCGAGGAAGCTGGCAGCGGATTCAGCAGCAGGGGAGGGGAGGGAGTGTCAAACAACCAGATACAAACCTGGCGGCAGCGCAGAGTCGCTGGGCCACTTTGCCTGGTTCTGTGGAGCACCCCAAAGCGCAGGGCCTGGGGTGGTCACCCTAATTTGCACCCCGCCTAGGGACAGCCCTGCCTGCAGGCACCTGGATCTGGCCTCATACTGCTCAGATCTGGCCCTGTCCCCTCTTGGTTATGTGCACCCAAATTGGGCCTTATCCCACCCCAGATTTGTGTACCCGGTATGGCTTGCCAGGTCAGGCTGTCCAGCCCACCAGGCTCCCCATGGGTACAACAATTTGGCAGTGGGGGAGCAGCAATTCATGCTGCCACTATTCCCCCAATGTCAAACATTCAGACCTGTGAAGAGTCCTGCAGTTCAGATGATGCAGCTTTACTAGCTGGGGGTTGAACACTCCTGTTGTATAGTATTCACTGGCCTCTTCCTTCAGGATTTTTCACTTTTTTGTGTCTCATTTTATTACTTCCTTGTAACTGGATATGCCTTCCATTCTGAATATGAGGCGAAACTAAGTAAACTACATGATTTTTTAATTAAGTTCTGTAGATATCTGGCTTCACATGCAGATACACTAACTAGGATCTTAACTAAATAATTCCTCTGCTTATGTGAAAATTCCAACCTTTAATGACTGCAGAACAGCAGGCCAAGAACAAGATAGATTTCTGAAAAGTGTTTGTTTTTATAAGAGTGTAGGTTGTAGCCCTGTTGGTCTAAGGACATAGGCAGACAAGGTTCTTTGGGTGAATCTGATATCTTTTATTAGACCAACTTAAATAGCTGGAAAACAATTATTAAGCAAGCTTTCAGGTTCAAAAACCCTTCGTCAGGCTAAGGAAGTTTCAGCAGTTGGTGTGTGCTCTTGGATGGAATGAAAAGTAAAGAAGTCAGAGGCTGGGCTGGTATGCATGCAAGACAGGTAGTCAGTGAAAATGTAGATTGAGGAGTCGATGGGTGAGCGACAGGCTGGGGGACGGGGGTGGAGAGAAGGGGGATGAAAGTGGAGAGATACCTGGGGAGTCAGATGTCAGACGGGTTATAATGTGTCATAAATCCAATGTCTATACTTAGTCCATGATTTTTAGTATCCAGGAGGTTTTTGTAAGTATTGTCAGTGAGCTTTGCTTGCTGGTGTTTTCAGAGAGCTTGGTAAGGTAATTCTTGCTTTTACTGGCTGAGCAACAAGTAGTCTTCTAAAGGAGATATTTCATCTCAGATTCGAATAAGAAATGAAAGGGCCATATTTGAGGTCAGATTCCTTAAACATATTCTCACTGTTGTGCTTTTAGCTCTAATAGAGGAAAAATAACTATTTTCTGTATCAATGTAGTCATGACTAAGGAGAGAAGTAGGCTCTTGGTTTCAATTAACTGGATATATTAAAAGTTGGTAGGAAGATCTGGGTACTCAGATGTGGCATTGACCAGAACTTAAAACCATCCATTTGCTGTCCCTGTTATCATATGAAGGGGTTAAGGCCCACACCTACCTCCACTGACTCTATTGTGTTTTCTCTGGGCAGGGGGTTTCATGGGATTGGCAAAAGCCTTATTTTTGTTAGTGTTAGAGATTGTTTTGTGTTGCAGCATCACAGCCACACACATCTGTTACTTTCTTTAACCGCTTTCAACCCTTCCACCATGAAACAGAGCAGCTGATCTTACCTAGCAAAATAGCTGCTAAGTAGGGACTTGTACCTGTCCCTATTGCAGAATAGTTAGTTGTCCTCAGATGGGTGAGTAGATAAGAAGCAGAACAGAACTGCAGGAATATTGAAATATTCTCCCCTTAATTCCTTTACAATCTGTCCATTTATTTATAAGTATTTTTGGTGCTGGAGGATATGAGAGCATTGTAAGGTATTATAAATGTTAATTTGCTCTGTTTGTTACTTTTCTTATGGCCTCACTCAACATTAACACTAACTTTTCAGTTGTTTGGAACTTGACTATTCTTCTGAAACATCACAGGGCAAGAAATGTTCTTTGTATTTTTGTTGAATACACATAGGAAACTAAGAACTAGATAGTAATATATTAATGAAAAAATGTGAAACTTAGTCATTCTTTAACAAGCTTCTCTACTGAAAGATTTTCACATAGCATGACATGCTCTCAAGAGAAGAAGTGATACTGAACGTCATACAGCAGAGCCTTTTAGAAGATCTCAGGATGCATAATAGAACTGTGAATCCATTAATGTACAAAGTAAGGCTAAATTTGGCACATTTACTAGCATCACAAATTTGTTTCTATTCACTGTATAGAAGGAGGTATTAGTTTTTAGCCAATTATATTAGAATTGAGTTCGGAGCCTCCAAAATTCTGCGTATTGGTTAAATGAAATATGACAGCTATGTAACTAACTAACTAACTAACTGTTGGATACCATGTTACTGTTAACCTTTGGATAGCTCCTTAATTACTTCTAAAAATATACTAAAATATTATTTTTCTCTGGAAGCATTAATTTATCTGTTTTGATTAGGTAGTTACACAGTATAACAGTACAAAAAACTTTATGGAACTATAATGTATAAATAATATTATAATGGAAAAGTAATTGTACAACAATGAAGTTCCAACTTGCTAGTTGCATAAGAGGAGGTCTGAAATGTCAGTCTTAATTCTAAATTTTCTTTTGCTTCTTTTTGTATGAGACCTGTTACAATTAAGTACCTGAACTGATCTTAACTGTCACCACCTAATTTTTCATTATTCAGTCACTAGATGGTGCCATCTTCAATTTCATTTCACACATTTGTGAATATACATTATTTAAATACATTGTTTATTTTGTTTTAAGAAAGAAGCTTCTGAATTCCTTTCTGAGGAACACTTTGTTCAGAGAAGAATAATGTATATTTTTTAATATTTTGCATGATTCCCTGAAAGCACCTCTTACTTTTAATTGATACTGTTACTT